GGCAGATAAGAGATGAAGATAGAAGAGGTAAAGTATGGAACGAACAAATAAGACCCGCAACTTTTGAGTTAAAGAAAACCATTGACGCCTTAGTTGTTTTAGCAGGTAAGGTTTCAGAATATAACGCAAAAATGAACCCACAATGTTCAAAATGTAAAGCAGCAATGAGGAAATATAACTACTCCGTCAAAGAGATAGAACGTATGAGAAACGACTATGCTGACTTAAAGAAAGAAGCAGAGAAACCAGCAGAAGATAAAATGGACATGTTAGCATTTCTGAACAAAAACTATCCAACTGCTGACGATTTCCTTCTTTCAGATGTCAAGAAGAAATATAAAGAAACCTTCGGCATTGTTAAAACATTCGATGTACTGACAGAGGAAATCGAAGCCACAAAACTGTTTAGGATTTCACGAATTCACAATGTTTACCATGTAAAACGCTTATAAAATAACTGGGGTAGAAAAGAGGTTAGAAAAGAGGTTAGATCTAACCTTCTACCCTAAAATATATTTTTGCTGAATTCAGCAACAAATTTCTGAGTAAAATGGCATATAGCTTGTGTCAAACCGTTGAGTTTTCACAAAATTTAAAAAATAGCGTTTACCATGTAAAACGCTTGTGAGAAAAGAGGTGAGAAAAGAGGTGAGAAAACAGGTGAGATCTCACCACTTCACCTAAAATATATTTTTGTCTGATTTACGCTCATTGACGAAGAAGTCTTGACAAAACATATACGAAGAAGTCTATTTCCTGTATTGTTGTCAAAATGTCTTGTTGTCACCATTTTTCAGAGAAGTTAAAATGACCTAGGCACACATGGGCACATAGGCACACTTCAGTTCTTCACCTAAAATATATTTTTGCTGAAAAAAATGACCAAATTTCATGATATAACTGTATTTTTTTACGAAGAGAACTTTGACACTTCGTCAAAAAAATGACGTTTACCATGTAAAACGCTTATGAAAATCGTGAAATTTTGACGAAGAGAACTTTAACACTTCGTCAAAAAAATGACGTTTACCATGTAAAACGCTTATGAAAATCGTGAAATTTTGACGAAGAGAACTTTAACACTTCGTCAAAAAAATGACGTTTACCATGTAAAACGCTTATGAAAATCGTGAAATTTTGACGAAGAGAACTTTAACACTTCGTCAAAAAAATGACGTTTACCATGTAAAACGCTTATGAAAATCGTGAAATTTTGACGAAGAGAACTTTAACACTTCGTCAAAAAAATCCCTGAAATCATATCTTTTATACAAGATAGAAAATAACGCTAATTTTATTTTTTTTTATTTTTTTATTTTGTATGTAAAGACAGTAATGACAACAACAGAGAACACAACAACTGCTATCGTTCATGAAGCCATAAGTGAAGAATACGAGTGGGTTCAGTATAACAAACAGTTACGTCTCATTCGTTCGGTCAAAGATGACATGTACCAAATGCAAAGTATTTTGACAGCATGTTTTGCTCCAGATACCAAACATACAGACGATTGGTTCAAAAACCAAAGCACACAAGAACTTTTGAGCGAAGCACAGCGAGACCGACTTTTTTCGGGGTCGCTTAAAACTCATGAAAATCGTAAAAATTTGCCAAATGGTTTGAGAGGTTGGTATGTACATAGACTATTAGTAAATGCTGTTGCAATGTGGGCTTCGCCTCGTTATGCTTGGTATATTTACAGACTTCTTGACGAAATTCATAGACAAGAACGTGAAGAGATGGAAAAGAAACTTCAAGCAAAAGATGAAGTCATTGAAGCAAAAGACAAAAACATACAGAAAAGAATACCACGTTTGGTACCAAAAGGAAAGGAAAAAAGCTATAAGTATATGATTTATACTGAAGAGATGGAAAATGAAGAAGACAGAGATATGGTTATGTTGCATTTAGTCAGAAGAAACAACAAGAGCTTTTACGACCTTGCTAAGATTTACAAATCTAACAGAAATTGGTTCTATCGCGAAAACTTACCGATTTCAATGACACCGAATGAAGATGTTAAACAGATAGTTCAAGATACTTTACCTCAAACACACTATGATATGAAAGGTTGTACAATACTTACCTTCAAAGAAGACTTACCGCTACTGAAAGAAAAAATAACAGAGTATTTTGACAACTTCAAAGAGGAAGAATAAAAAAATCTAAGCTAATTTTATTTTTTTATAAAATTTTATCTCATATGAAAGAACATGAATTTAGAATATTCGGAACTCATGACAGAAGAAGAGAACGAACAACATGTAAAAGATTATGCAAAATTTCTGAAGACATACAAAGCATTTAAACAATATCTAAATGCTTCTAAAGATTATGCAAAATTTCTGAAGGTATATAAAGCTTATGAAAAAGCGTATGAAAAGTTTATACATTGGGGAATTGTTGTAAAATATCCATATGAAGACTAACCAAAAATATATTTTTGCTTAAATAGCTTCAGGGTCTATTTCTTCAACCATTTCACTTCCTTCGTCAATGTCAATAGAAGCTTCTTCAACCTTTGGTAGGAGCTTATGTATAACATCTTTGTTCGTTATTGTCTTCAGAGATGAAGGATAATATTTCACATTTGTTTCACCCTTCTTATATTCTTTCTGTTCGGAAAGATTCATAGCAATACTGAAGAAGTCAATGTTAGAGTTCTTTATAATAGTATAGTGTGTATCTTTGACATTCACGAAGAAACCCTTTTGTTTCAAAACTACTGCTAACTCTTGTGAAGTATAACGTTTGCGGTCAATGACAATAGCTAATGGTCTGACATACTGACCAAACTTAGATTCTTTCACAAACTTCTTGTTAAAGATAACATTAACATTTGAAGCACCATTGAACTCATTCTTGATGGCATTAGCGAGAGCATTGTATGAAAAGAACTTACAATCTTGCATGTGTTTCATTATAATAAAAAGTTCGAAATATTTTAAAACTAGCCTTAAAAAATCTAATCTAATTTTTTTCTAAGAAATTTTTTTATTTCCTACTAAAGATGTATCGGAAGTTGTCTAAGTTAGAACACTCGGAAATAAAACAGCTTCTTACAGAAGCTAACATAGATGTTGCAAAACATTACGCGACAAACAAAAAAGCACTCGCTGACATCCTCAATGACTACAATGGTGAAATAACTTATGATAGAATTCATGAGTTCATAAATGCAAGAGCATTTCCTTTAAATGACGTTGCTATTGACTTATATCATAGACGTTCAGTACCTCATGAAGTAAGAAGAGAGATGTTTGACATAACAAATGCGAACGTTGGTCATACTCGTAAAGCTCTTTCGCATGATGTTCGTCAAGAAATGTTTGACATAACAATGCAAACGTTGGTGAAACACGAAGAGAGACGACACACTGAAACAACAGAGAAGAGAGATGTTTAAAAGTGCTATAGAACAAGTTCGCAAAGCTAACGATGTCATTCGTTCCATTGACGACAAACCAAAAGAAGGTGAGAGATGGTTAAAGAAGATGAAGAGAATAGGAAGAGAAATGTGAAGTCAGGCAAATAGACTCATTGACTTTAACATCGAAGCTTTAGATGAACCAAACAGAGAATATTTACACAAACATTTCGGTAAGGTTTTCATGAGACTCTTAGAGAAAATTAAAATAAACTCCCAACAGAGATGGATGGTATGTTATAACTTGGTGGAAAGTATGAATGTTCTACGTTAAACCTCAATAATATTGGAACATTACTACATCAGCTCTTGAAGGAGAACTTTATATCAGAGATAGAAGCAAATGCTGCAGGTATTGTTGAAATGCACTATGACTTCTTCTTGACAAACATAAAGAATCTTACCGAAATAAAGATGTATGATTTAACAGAATATGAAGGCTTAACGATGTCAGATGTTAAGAAAGGAAAGCCACAGAGCGACCATATAGAGATGAAAGCACACTGACAAATGACCAGAAAGCCATTTTGGAAGCTCTTAAGCAAACAGGAAAACCCAGCACTTATAGAAAGCTTTTGGAAAGATAATGGTGAAAAGAAGTTTTATAAGAAGAGAAGCGGTCAGTTCTGGAAGTATCTTTGCACATTACCTATAAATCTTGAACGCTACCAAATCTTCAATGAACTGAAAAAAGAACTGCAGCACTTATGACAGAAGACAATGTTTCGTTTATGCTTGCATTCAGGCTGGAGTAAATGAAGAAACTATTGACCACATGAGAGAAGTCATTCGTGTTAGAGACTTTCCTCAAAGTAAAGTACAAGAAATTTCTGACGCAACAGGTATAACATTCAATGTTACCATTGGTTACTTCAATGACTCAAGACATAATGAAATAAAGAGATACGTACCAAAAGAATGTGAAACTGTTCGAACTATTGACTTACTTCTTGTTGAAGACCACTACATGCTAAATGAAAGATTACCAATGACAACATATTTCATTCGCAACTATATAGAAATCTTGAAGGAGTGTGGTGGAATGAACATTGAAAAACAGATGAAGATTTATACAAAGAGAGAAGATAATATGTAGTTCGCATGGATAGAACTACACCGCTATGGGATGTTATGAAAACATTGTGGGAGTGCAAATATTTCGAGCCTATTTCTTATGGAGAACTTTTCACATATACGACTGACTTATATAAACAGAACCTTGCACCATTTAAAGATTTGTCATATGCTCCAAAGTATTGTGTACAACTGAAGAAGAAAGCCGAGTCAAAAGAAGTAAATAAAAATAAGTGCAAGTTCATTCCTGAGCATGTTTTCTTTGCTGACTTTGAGTGCAGTACCGATGGCTTTCATAAAGCTTTTAACATCTGTTTTGACAGTGAAGATGGTTCAGTGAGTGAAAGCATATGGGGTCAAAACTGTGCAACAGAATTTTTGGAACGACTTCCTGACAAGAGTTTAATATATTTCCATAACCTCAGCTATGATATAAACTTCATCTTAAGACACATGACAGAAGTGAAAGGAACTCCCATCATTAAAGGTTCACGAACAATGCAAATAACTGGCTTATATAAAGGAAGGGCAATTATTATAAAAGACTCTTACAGTGTTATAAATAAGAAACTTAAACTATTTCCTGCTATGTTTAACTTACAAACAGGACCGAAAGAAGTATTTCCATACAACTACTACAGCAGTGTTTTGTTAGCAAATGACAACAGAACTGGTGTCATTTCTGAAGCATGTAAGTTTATCCGGGATGCAGATACATTCATGAAAAACATAGATTCCATCAAAGGTTGCAGAATAGATGAAAACCATTTCGACTTAGAAAAGTATAGCACATTCTATTGCAAACAAGATGTAAGAATTTTAAGAGAAGGTTTTGTTAAGTTCCGCAATGACATATTAAAAGAATTTGATTTAAACGTTTATGACTACGTTAGTATTTGTTCAATTGCTAACAAATTATTTGAGAACAGAGTGTACTTCCGAATGGAAATTTTATATGACCTCTCAAATAAACCAAGAGAATTTATTTCGAGATGCATTCAAGGTGGAAGATGTATGCTGTCAGATAACATGAAACAAAAGAGCGAAAAGAAACTCATTGCTGACTTCGACGCTGTTTCATTATATCCATCAGCATATTGCAAGATTGTATACTTTAGAAGGAATTCCAAAAGTATTGAAGGATGAGATGTTAAGCACAGAGTATCTCATGAGACATTTATTCGATGACGACCAAAAGGAACCCATTGGTGAAAAGTTTATGTCTGGCTTCTTTGTTCTCATTAAGATAACAGAGATTGGAATACATAGACACTTTCCTTTAATAGTTTGTGACCCTGAACTAAATCCAGAACTTAACGTTCCCAGAAGTTCAAACACTTGCTGTTTAATGTATGTTGACCATATAACATTACAAGACCTCATAAAATATCAAGGTGTCAAATGTGAAGTGTTGCAAGGATACTATTACGATGGAAACAGAGATATTAGAATAAGAGATGAAGTAAAGAAGTTGTTTGAGTTAAGGTTAAAGTATAAGAAAGAAGGAAATCCTTTGCAAGAAAATATAAAGCTCATTCTGAACAGTATTTATGGCAAAACTATTCTATCTCCTATTGAGTCAAAAATAACCATAGTAGATCAAAGATGCTATTATGCCATCAGAAACTACAACCATATAGTGAAGTTCGAAGGTTTGGATGGTTCAGATAAAACTATTTTCAAGCTAACGAAAAGCATTTGCAGACACTTTAACTTCTGTCCACTTGGTGTTAACATTCTGTCTATGTCGAAGAGAATAATGTGTGAAGTATTCTGTACTGCTGAGGACTTAGGAATGGACATCTTTATAGCGACACCGACAGTATGCATCTCTACAATGAAGATATCCCTCGTTTAGCTGAAGAGTTTGAGAAACGTTATGGAAGAGTTCTCATTGGTAAAAACCTTGGTCAGTTTCATAGCGACTTCGCAGAAATAACACCTGGAAAACAAAGTTTAGCATACAAGTCAATATTTTGTGGAAAGAAGACTTACATAGACTTACTCACGAATGATTTAAATGAAGTTGCATTTCACTGCAGAATGAAAGGCGTGAAGCAAGATGTTATTGCTTTAACCGCTAATGAAATGTTTCCTGACTCTGTTCAGTGTTTCTATGATGAAGATAAAGGTTTAATGGTTCCGCAAGGAACATATGACAAAGACTCTGAGTTCAGTTTAATGAAACTTTACAAAGCACTTCATGATGGTCAAGAGATTGGATTTGACTTATGTAAGTCTTCTAGTCCTTGCTTTGCTGAAAAGTTTAACTTCTCAATAACGACTAAAACAAGCTTTATTCGTAAGTTGAAGTTCTGAGGTCATTTATTTTTGTCAGCAATGAGGTCATTCGTGATAAAATAAGCCGCTAGCGGCAAGGGCGAAGCCCATGTGGTCATTTACAATACTGCGATGGTAGAGTTTAAGAGTTGTGCTTCAATGTAGAGACAGTCCTTATGGTCTGGAGGTAAGAACACTGGGCAGTTATGGTCATGAGTGGAGAACATGTCTATCCAAAACTCACGATTGAAGCCAGTTAATTTATAGTATTTAGGGTTAGGAAGTGGTGAAGTTCTTGTATGACCAATGAACTCATTTTCAACTCCCTTACTTAAGTTTGAATATAATATAGCTTGCTTTCTATCCCAAATGCCAGGTGTTACAATCTTTGAAAATTCATTTTTCCTCGGAAGCATTGCATCATAATTGAAAACATTCTTGAAATCTTCACTGGGTTCAGAGATTTGAAATCTTATACGTAATGGATTTTCTTTCTTTTAGCGACTTCATTGAATGGTGAGAATACAACAAACTGACAGTCATGTGTTCCATCTTCATTTTCATTAAATTCATAATGAAAGTCTATAAGTTGTGGCTGACTACCTTCTTCTTTCAGTTGTGCAAGAAACTCACGTAAAGGCTGTAAAGTTTGTACTTCAATGTTAAACTTTTTCTCGAACATCTCATTAAATGAAATCATACATTGCAACAATGTTGTATCGTCTTTAAAGTATTTGTATATGTGAATGTTTTGGGCGCTTAAAGACTGTTCGTCATTTTCTATCTCGACTTGAAGTATAAAGTCAACCTTTCTGAAAGCACGTGTTATATACATAGATGTTATGCCAATGTACTTCTCTTCATTTATGTTCACAATCCAGTCTGTTGGAAACTTAAACGTTACTCTGTTCCCCTTTATTTTGACGTCAGGGTTTTCACTACTGAACGCAACAGATAAAGGTATTTGTCTATACATTTAGTTCCAATAAAAATAAACCATTTACTCTTTCTTCACTTCAGCTTCTTTAGCTTTTGCTTCAGCTTCTTCTCTAGCTTTTTTCGCCAGTAGTCTTGGGTTCTTTTGTCTTCCAGCAGCTAATGCAGCAAGTTGTTTTTCACTAAGTTTTCTCTTTGGTCTCTCTGGCTTTTGTTCTTGTTTTTGTTCCTTCAGTTCGGATAAAATTTGCTCGCGAATTTCTTTCTTCAATGCTTCAACATCTATGACCCCTTGGGTCTTGTCCGTAGGGCTTGTCTGAGTCATTTGACTGCAGATAAAAAACAAAATTAAAAACTTTAACCGATTGTAAAATGAGCTTGTCAAAATCAGAGCGAGAGTCTATTATATTAAATGACGCAAAGAGGAATACAACATCCTTTCTATTACGTAGTCAGAGTAAAGATGGTAAAATATACGTAAGAAAAGAAAGGTTCCATTAGCGAATGCAGAAAGCGACAACATTAAGGTGTATGGCAAGGGTGAAGTCCACGAAGCCCATATAAAATCTTCTGTTCAAACTGAAAAGTCAATAGAACCAGAAGAAAAGAAGCCAGATGTTCTTTCAATAACGAACCAAGAGCTTATTGCAAAGTTCGTGAATTTCATTGAAAAACAAACCGAGTCAAAGAACCCTGACCCACCAGTGAAAGAAGTTGAGAGAAAAGAGAATGTACAGTTCATTGAAAATGTCACGAAACAACTTCCACCACGAATTCCAAGAAGAAGAGTGAGAATAATGAAGTAAATAGATATTTTTATCTGAAGTAAATACATGCAGAACGAACAGCTAAACGAATTTACTCCAGCAGAGCATATTCATCAGATTCGCTCATATTTCGATATCATAGACAATGCAGTTCAAATTGGTGACACTAATAGAAAATATTCTGACGCAAAGATTCCATCACAACCTGGAACTGCTAAAGATAACACATGGGTAACATTCAATCTCTCACCTCCTGGTGAAAATATGTTGGACCTTTACAATACATTCATTACGTATAAGATGGAAGGTCAATTTATTGTAGATAAAGAAAATTGGTTCAGGTTCCAATAAAACAAACCCACCAGGATTTTGGATTGGTTTCGATGACGCTTTCTATGCAGTTGCTGGATATCAAATCCTTGCAAATGGTCGTATCGTATATTCTCAGACAACGCAAGAGAAGAAGCATATATACTTCAAACTCACAAACTACCGAACAAATAAAGAAAGTAGATGTTTTCTCAAAGACCCGACATGAAGATGTATGGAGTCATTCGGAACATGCAGAACAGGACAAATTGTTAGTGGTCCAATTACAGCAGGAAAATCATTTGATTTTAAGCTTCGTTTAAGAATTCCTGTTAGAAAGTTTTTACCATTAGAAGCTATAAGATTTATTCCTGCATTTGCTGGTAACATTCAGCTTAAAGTAAAGTTCAGTAGCGACGCCTTACAATGCACATCGATATCTGTAAATGATATCATTGCTTTCCAACCAACTCTTAAAGTTGCATTTGCTTCAGATTCAAATCCACCGACAAATAAATTTGTTCCATGGAATGAACAATTCACTATGATAACAAAGGCAGTAGAAGCTAGTGGAACAGTTACTATTACAACTGTAACCCAGCAACTATTCGAACAAAATGGATTTTAATGAATGTTTCATTCATCCAAAGTCATTCTCTTTAGACCCTAACATTTATACAGAACTTGTAGAACATTATACAAACGAGGCTTTATGTTTTCCTGTTAAAGTTATGGATTGGATTCCTATGGACGGTTCATTCTCAAAGAATACAGATAGTTCAAGTGCAACATTTACAGCAGCTTATACGCCTATTAATGTTAAAAGTATTTGGGCACTATTTAGAAAGAAAGACAACTATTATGTTAATTTTTGAGAACCCTAAGTTTAAATATCTTCAGCTTTCCATGGGAGCTTATGGAAATATGCCTGCAGAACCTGAAAAATCATATGGACCTGTATTTTATGAAATGGTTGCGAACGCTTGCAATACAAACAATGATATGATTGGATTTAATGAAGATGTTATGAGGTCATTGGTGGATGATGGTAGTGTGGAACATAAATGGGATAGCTATGACAACACACATTTCTTATGTGGTTTTCCAACAGAAGTGGACTTTTGCTTCCAGCAAGGTCAAACATCTACTGCTCCAATAACATACAAATTGTCTGTTAAAGGACCTATTGAACTAGCAACTGAAAACGTACCAAAGCCACTTATTGGATTTATGAGGGATTGTTGCTTTGCCATTCAGGTAAGACAGTCAGGCATCCCCATAATAAAATTAGATGACTATAACTTAGCCACGGACGACAGTGAGGAATAAAGGATGAACGTTTATTTTTAAAGCTTATAAATGAGTTCTTCATCAAGCTCTCGCGAACCTTCACCATCTATGAAACAAACTTTACCAAACGATTATGGCGCACCTATTGAATATTTCTTACGAGCTGCACAATGGCAAAGAGCAGTCTCACCAAGGTTAGGTGTTCCACCAGCTCCTGTCAAAAATAGCATTTGGTCAAGTCCTTATATAAAATATGGTCTCCCACTAGGTTTGCTAGCTACAGCAGGAGCAGTTATGATGTTGAAAAGAAATAAAGCAAATGTTGTAAATAATACTGAAGTAGCTGAAGTTAAACAAACTCCAACACCTTCGCCAAAACCAACGTCAAAACCAACGCCTTCACAAACAAAACCTTCAATGACTCCTGAACCTATGGAAGTACAAACTCCTGTTCAAAAGTCAACTCCTAAACCGACTCCAACATTTAAACCAGAACCTACTCCTCAAATAAATCGTAAAACTCCTGCGTTTCCTTACTGAAAAAATAACGTTATTTTTATTTAATATTAAAATTTTTATTTGATTGAAATGACAAATAAAGTCACTGAAGCAATGAAACAAAAGTTTTTGGTAGAATACATTAAATCAGGAACTATTCCAGAAGGTTTTTACATTCATACTATGAAGGATGGTAGAGTTCAGTTTAGAAAGATAAAGCAACCATTAGATAAAGAAGGAATTTTGAGAAAGATTAAACTTCATGAGGACAACATTGCTGAACTTAAGAAGAAGTTAGAAGAGTTGGAGAAAGGAAGAGAGTTATAAAGCAATGAATTCAACAGGGTGAAAAAAGAGGTTAGATATCGGGTTAGATCTAACCTTCTACCCTAAATTTATTTTTTGTGCTATGTTTTCATACGTGTGAGGGTGGTGATATCATTAATTTTTAAGTTTATTTTTATATAAATGACGAAAACTATTGAGATAACAAACTACAACGGTCATGAGTTCAAGAATTTGTTCTTCGTTCCTCGTGAAAATACATTCTATCAGATACGAGGGAGAAAGGGTAAAGTTAGTTTGAGCGTTTATGAAGGAATGAAGAATGGAAAGTTTATACAAGCATACGATACAAACGGTAAACGTGTTTCATTAGCTTTGTCAAAACTTACTAACATTTATTTTGACAGTGACTTTGACCTATATGAAGAAGAAAGTGAGTCAGAAGATTATGAGCTGTTATGTGAAGCACAGCAATGGGAGGAGCTGCAATACTTTTGTAAGTGAGAACGTTTATTTTTTTACATTAGTGAAGTCGTTTGTGAAAACGTTAGTGAAGTGAAGTGGTTGGCGGCTTTGTAAATATTTAATGTTAAGTTAGTGTTGTCGTTTGTGTTGTAAAATATACGTTAATGGTTTTGTAAATATTTAAGGTTAAGTGGTATACGGAGGCGCGCAGTGCCTCAGTACACGACTAACCCATACTAACTAACGTACCAAAGCCACTTATTGGATTTATGAGGGATTGTTGCTTTGCCATTCAGGTAAGACAGTCAGGCATCCCCATAATAAAATTAGATGACTATAACTTAGCTACGGACGACAGTGAGGAATAAAGGATGAACGTTTATTTTTAAAGCTTATAAATGAGTTCTTCATCAAGCTCTCGTGAACCTTCACCATCTATGAAACAAACTTTACCAAACGATTATGGCGCACCTATTGAATATTTCTTACGAGCTGCACAATGGCAAAGAGCAGTCTCACCAAGGTTAGGTGTTCCACCAGCTCCTGTCAAAAATAGCATTTGGTCAAGTCCTTATATAAAATATGGTCTCCCACTAGGTTTGCTAGCTACAGCAGGAGCAGTTATGATGTTGAAAAGAAATAAAGCAAATGTTGTAAATAATACTGAAGTAGCTGAAGTTAAACAAACTCCAACACCTTAGTTAGTATACATAAGTCGTGTACTGAGGCACTGCGCGCCTCCGTACACCACTTAACCTTAAATATTTACAAAACCATTAACATATATTTTACAACACAAACGACAACACTAACTTAACCTTAAATATTTATAAAGCCGCCAACCACTTCACCTCACTAATGAAAAAATAAACGTTTTCACAAACGACTTCATTAATGTAAAAATAAACGTTCTCACTTACAAAAGTATTGCAACTCCTCCCATTGCTGTGCTTCACATAACAGCTCATAATCTTCTGACTCACTTTCTTCTTCATATAGGTCAAAATCACTGTCAAAATAAATGTTAGTAAGTTTTGACAAAGCTAATGAAACACGTTTACCGTTTGTATCGTATGCTTGTATAAACTTTCCATTCTTCATTCCTTCATAAACGCTCAAACTAACTTTACCCTTTCTCCCTCGTATCTGATAGAATGTATTTTCACGAGGAACGAAGAACAAATTCTTGAACTCATGACCGTTGTAGTTTGTTATCTCAATAGTTTTCGTCATTTATATAAAAATAAACTTAAAAATTAATGATATCACCACCCTCACACGTATGAAAACATAGCACAAAAATAAATTTAGGTGAAGTGGTGAGATCTCACCTCTTTTTTCACCTGTTTTTTCACCCTGTTGAATTCATTGCTTTATAACTCTCTTCCTTTCTCCAACTCTTCTAACTTCTTCTTAAGTTCAGCAATGTTGTCCTCATGAAGTTTAATCTTTCTCAAAATTCCTTCTTTATCTAATGGTTGCTTTATCTTTCTAAACTGAACTCTACCATCCTTCATAGTATGAATGTAAAAACCTTCTGGAATAGTTCCTGATTTAATGTATTCTACCAAAAACTTTTGTTTCATTGCTTCAGTGACTTTATTTGTCATTTCAATCAAATAAAAATTTTAATATTAAATAAAAATAACGTTATTTTTTCAGTAAGGAAACGCAGGAGTTTTATGATTTATTTGAGGAGTAGGTTCTGGTTTAAATGTTGGAGTCGGTTTAGGAGTTGACTTTTGAACAGGAGTTTGTACTTCCATAGGTTCAGGAGTCATTGAAGGTTTTGCTTGTGAAGGCGTTGGAGTTTGTTTAACTTCAGCTACTTCAGTATTATTTACAACATTTGCTTTATTTCTTTTCAACATCATAACTGCTCCTGCTGTAGCTAGCAAACCTAGTGGGAGACCATATTTTATATAAGGACTTGACCAAATGCTATTTTTGACAGGAGCTGGTGGAACACCTAACCTTGGTGAGACTGCTCTTTGCCATTGTGCAGCTCGTAAGAAATATTCAATAGGTGCTCCATAATCGTTTGGTAAAGTTTGTTTCATAGATGGTGAAGGTTCGCGAGAGCTTGATGAAGAACTCATTTATAAGCTTTAAAAATAAACGTTCATCCTTTATTCCTCACTGTCGTCCGTGCTAAGTTATAGTCATCTAATCTTATTATTATGGGATGCCTGACTGTCTTACCTGAATGGCAAAGCAACAATCCCTCATAAATCCAATAAGTGGCTTTGGTACGTTTTCAGTTGCTAGTTCAATAGGTCCTTTAACAGACAATTTGTATGTTATTGGAGCAGTAGATGTTTGACCTTGCTGGAAGCAAAAGTCCACTTCTGTTGGAAAACCACATAAGAAATGTGTGTTGTCATAGCTATCCCATTTATGTTCCACACTACCATCATCCACCAATGACCTCATAACATCTTCATTAAATCCAATCATATCATTGTTTGTATTGCAAGCGTTCGCAACCATTTCATAAAATACAGGTCCATATGATTTTTCAGGTTCTGCAGGCATATTTCCATAAGCTCCCATGGAAAGCTGAAGATATTTAAACTTAGGGTTCTCAAAATTAACATAATAGTTGTCTTTCTTTCTAAATAGTGCCCAAATACTTTTAACATTAATAGGCGTATAAGCTGCTGTAAATGTTGCACTTGAACTATCTGTATTCTTTGAGAATGAACCGTCCATAGGAATCCAATCCATAACTTTAACAGGAAAACATAAAGCCTCGTTTGTATAATGTTCTACAAGTTCTGTATAAATGTTAGGGTCTAAAGAGAATGACTTTGGATGAATGAAACATTCATTAAAATCCATCTTTGTTCGAAATAGTTGCTGGGTTACAGTTGTAATAGTAACTGTTCCACTAGCTTCTACTGCCTTCGTTATCATAGTGAATGGTTCATTCCATGGAACAAATTTATTTGTCGGTGGATTTGAATCTGAAGCAAATGCAACTTTAAGAGTTGGATTGAAAGCAATGATATCATTTACAGATATAGATGTGCATTGTAAGGCGTCGCTACTGAACTTTACTTTAAGCTGAATGTTTCCTGCAAAAGCTGGAATAAATCGAATAGCTTCTAATGGAAGGAATCTTCTAACAGGAATTCTTAAACGAAGCTTAAAATCAAATGATTTTCCTGCTGTAATTGGACCACTAACAATTTGTCCTGTTCTGCATGTTCCCGAATGACTCCATACATCTTCATGTCGAGTCTTTGAGAAAACATCTACTTTCTTTATTTGTTCGGTAGTTTGTGAGTTTGAAGTTATATATGCTTCTTCTCTTGCGTTGTCTTGAGAATATACGATACGACCATTTGCAAGGATTTGATATCCAGCAACTGCATAGAAAGCGTCATCGAAACCAATCCAAAATCCTGGTGGGTTTGTTTTATTGGAACCTGAACCAATTTCTTTATCTACAATAAATTGACCTTCCATTTTATACGTAATGAATGTATTGTAAAGGTCCAACATATTTTCACCAGGAGGTGAGAGATTGAATGTTACCCATGTGTTATCTTTAGCAGTTCCAGGTTGTGATGGAATCTTTGCGTCAGAATATTTTCTATTAGTGTCACCAATTTGAACTGCATTGTCTATGATATCGAAATATGAGCGAATCTGATGAATATGCTCTGCTGGAGTAAATTCGTTTAGCTGTTCGTTCTGCATGTATTTACTTCAGATAAAAATATCTATTTACTTCATTATTCTCACTCTTCTTCTTGGCATTCGTGGTGGAAGTTGTTTCTTGACATTTTCAATGAACTGTACATTCTCTTTTGTCTCAACTTCTTTCACTGGTGGGTCAGGGTTCTTTGACTCGGTTTGTTTTTCAATGAAATTCACGAACTTTGCAATAAGCTCTTGGTTCGTTATTGAAAGACATCTGGCTTCTTTTCTTCTGGTTCTATTGACTTTTCAGTTTGAATAGAAGGTTTTATATGGGCTTCGTGGACTTCACCCTTGCCATACACCTTAATGTTGTCGCTTTCTGCATTCGCTAATGGAACCTTTCTTTTTCTTACATATATTTTACCATCTTTACTCTGACTTACGTAATAGAAAGGATGTTGTATTCCTCTTGCGTCATTTAATATAATAGACTCTCGCTCTGATTTTGACAAGCTCATTTTACATCGGTTAAAGTTTTAATTTTGTTTTTTATCTGCAGTCAAATGACTCAGACAAGCCCTACGGACAAGACCCAAGGGGTCATAGATGTTGAAGCATTGAAGAAAGAAATTCGCGAGCAAATTTTATCCGAACTGAAGGAACAAAAACAAGAACAAAAGCCAGAGAGACCAAAGAGAAAACTTAGTGAAAAACAACTAGCTGCATTAGCTGCTGGAAGACAAAAGAACCCACGTTTGCTGGCGAAGAAAGCTAGAGAAGAAGCAAAAGCAAAGGAAGAACAAAAAGCTAAAGAAGCTGAAGTGAAGAAAGAGTAAATGGTTTATTTTTATCCGAATTAAATGTATAGACAAATACCTTTATCTGTTGCGTTCAGTAGTGAAAACCCTGACGTCAAAATAAAGGGGAACAGAGTAACGTTTAAGTTTCCAACAGACTGGATTGTGAACATAAATGAAGAGAAGTACATTGGCATAACATCTATGTATATAACACGTGCTTTCAGAAAGGTTGACTTTATACTTCAAGTCGAGATAGAAAATGACGAACAGTCTTTAAGCGCCCAAAACATTCACATATACAAATACTTTAAAGACGATACAACATTGTTGCAATGTATGATTTCATTTAATGAGATGTTCGAGAAAAAGTTCAATATTGAAGTACAAACTTTACAGCCTTTACGTGAGTTTCTTGCACAACTGAAAGAAGAAGGTAGTCAGCCACAACTTATAGACTTTCATTATGAATTTAATGAAAATGAAGATGGAACTCATGACTGTCAGTTTGTTATATTCTCACCATTCAATGAAGTCGCTAAAGAGAAAGAAAATCCATTACGTATAAGATTTCAAATCTCTGAACCAAGTGATGATTTCAAGAATGTTTTCAATTATGATGCAATGCTTCCGAGGAAAAATGAATTTTCAAAGATTGTAACACCTGGCATTTGGGATAGAAAGCAAGCTATATTATATTCAAACTTAAGTAAGGGAGTTGAAAATGAGTTCATTGGTCATACAAGAACTTCACCACTTCCTAACCCTAAATACTATAAATTAACTGGCTTCAATCGTGAGTTTTGGATAGACATGTTCTCCACTCATGACCATAACTGCCCAGTGTTCTTACCTCCAGACCATAAGGACTGTCTCTACATTGAAGCACAACTCTTAAACTCTACCATCGCAGTATTGTAAATGACCACATGGGCTTCGCCCTTGCCGCTAGTTTTATTTTTATCACGAATGACCTCATTGCTGACAAAAATAAATGACCTCATTGCTGACAAAAATAAATGACCTCAGAACTTAAGCTTTCTTATGAATGAAGTCTTAGTCTGAATAGAAAAGTTAAACTTCTCTTCAAATGCAGGTGTAGCAGACTTACATAAGTCAAATCCAATCTCTTGACCGTCATAAAGTGCTTTGTAAAGTTTCATTAAACTGAACTCAGAGTCTTTGTCATATGTTCCTTGCGGAACCATTAAACCTTTATCTTCATCATAGAAACACTGAACAGAGTCAGGAAACATTTCATTAGCGGTTAAAGCAATAACATCTTGCTTCACGCCTTTCATTCTGCAGTGAAATGCAACTTCATTTAAATCATTCGTGAGTAAGTCTATGTAAGTCTTCTTTCCACAAAATATTGACTTGTATGCTAAACTTTGTTTTCCAGGTGTTATTTCTGCAAAGTCGCTATGAAATTGACCAAGGTTTTTACCAATGAGAACTCTTCCATAACGTTTCTCAAACTCTTCAGCTAAACGAGGGATATCTTCATTGTAGAGATGCATACTGTCGGTGTCGCTATAAAAGATGTCCATTCCTAAGTCCTCAGCAGTACAGAATACTTCACACATTATTCTCTTCGACATAGATAGAATATTAACACCAAGTGGACAGAAGTTAAAGTGTCTGCAAATGCTTTTCGTTAGCTTGAAAATAGTTTTATCTGAACCATCCAAACCTTCGAACTTCACTATATGGTTGTAGTTTCTGATGGCATATCTTATAGCATCTTTGTCATTTACTATGGTTATTTTTGACTCAATAGGAGATAGAATAGTTTTGCCATAAATACTGTTCAGAATGAGCTTTATATTTTCTTGCAAAGGATTTCCTTCTTTCTTATACTTTAACCTTAACTCAAACAACTTCTTTACTTCATCTCTTATTCTAATATCTCTGTTTCCATCGTAATAGTATCCTTGCAACACTTCACATTTGACACCTTGATATTTTATGAGGTCTTGTAATGTTATATGGTCAACATACATTAAACAGCAAGTGTTTGAACTTCTGGGAACGTTAAGTTCTGGATTTAGTTCAGGGTCACAAACTATTAAAGGAAAGTGTCTATGTATTCCAATCTCTGTTATCTTAATGAGAACAAAGAAGCCAGACATAAACTTTTCACCAATGGGTTCCTTTTGGTCATCATCGAATAAATGTCTCATGAGATACTCTGTGCTTAACATCTCATCCTTCAATACTTTGGAATTCCTTCTAAAGTATAAAGTCTTGCTATAGCTGATGGATATAATGAAACAGCGTCGAAGTCAGCAATGAGTTTCTTTTCGCTCTTTTGTTTAATGTTATCTGACAGCATACATCTTCCACCTTGAATGCATCTCGAAATAAATTCTCTTGGTTTATTTGAGAGGTCATATAAATTTCCATTCGGGAAGTACACTCTGTTCTCAAATAATTTGTTAGCAATTGAACAAATACTAACGTAGTCATAAACGTTTAAATCAAATTCTTTCAATATGTCATTGCGGAACTTAACAAAACCTTCTCTTAAAATTCTTACATCTTGTTTGCAATAAAATGTGCTATACTTTTCTAAGTCGAAGTGGTTCTCATCTATTCTGCAACCTTTGATGGAATCTATGTTTTTCATGAATGTATCTGCATCCCGGATAAACTTACATGCTTCAGAAATGACACCAGTTCTGTTGTCATTTGCTAACAAAACACTGCTGTAGTAGTTATATGGAAATACTTCTTTCGGTCCTGTTTGTAAGTTAAACATAGCAGGAAATAGTTTAAGCTTCTTATTTATAACACTGTAAGAGTCTTTTATAATAATTGCCCTTCCTTTATATAAGCCAGTTATTTGCATTGTTCGTGAACCTTTAATGATGGGAGTTCCTTTCACTTCTGTCATGTGTCTTAAGATGAAGTTTATATCATAACTGAGGTTATGGAAATATATTAAACTCTTGTCAGGAAGTCGTTCCAAAAATTCTGTTGCACAGTTCTGACCCCAAATGCTTTCACTCACTGAACCATCTTCACTGTCGTAACATATGTTAAAAGCTTTATGAAAGCCATCGGTACTACACTCAAAGTCAGCAAAGAAAACGTGCTCAGGAATGAACTTGCACTTATTTTTATTTACTTCTTTTGACTCGGCTTTCTTCTTCAGTTGTACACAATACTTTGGAGCATATGTCAAATCTTTAAATGGTGCAAGGTTCTGTTTATATAAGTCAGTCGTATATGTGAGATCTAAATTGCTCTCTACTCATTGCGGGTTTTATCTGTTCATTCATATCTTACCTCTTCTATCTTTATTCTTATCTGCCATACACATTCAGCAACTAACGAAACAAAGTTGTCGTAGGTCTTAAACTCCCACAGGATTTGTATATGTCAGAGATGTTCTTATTATCCATATCGCAATCTTTGTCCATGACTTTTGTGGTTGCAATGAAATCAAGAAACTCATAGTTAACCTTTCGTATGAACTTCTTTATTTCTACTGAGTCAGTTGCTTTGACTTCTATTTCTCGAATTCTGGAATAGTAAGCTTTTGTTGTTGGATTTCAGGCATTGGGTAAATGGTCAATAATATCCTGCATTTCATAAAGATATCTTCATCTGTTTCATCTTTTGCAGTGCAATCTAAATCCTCCTTGGAGAAGTTCTCGCGTTATCTTCTGGATTTTTTGTTTCGAAAGTATATGAAGAAGGAATGAAGCTTTTTCATCTCTTTACTAACATTGAAGTTGGGTTCATGACAACGAGTTTGGTGCTGTTGTTGCTAACATGTTTTACATTAAAAATAAAAAAAATATTTTTTTAAAAAAAACCAACTTTATTTTTTATTTCGGGGAAAATTCATGAAAATTCATGAGGGTAGAAAAAGAGGTTAAGAATCGGTTTATATCTCCCATCTACCTAAATTAATTTTTTGTCGAAAAAAATGGTTCATTTATCACAATATTTTTTTACAAAACGACCCCAACTTTTAACTTCTTTTCTGGCACTTCAAATGCTACTTTAGCGAGTTCATATTCTCTAAATTCTCTCTTTAAATCTTCTTGTTCCCATTGGTCTAGTTCGTATGGAGAGTCTCTATAAACCAGAACATATCTCACGTTCATGTTCTATTTGTTTTTCATGCATTTTTTCTAACTTCTTCTTCGAACAAAGGTTTGCATTCTCTACTGTATCTTCAAGTTCTTCTTCATCTAATTTCTCATGAACTTTTCTGTGCCTATGGAGTCCATAATTTTTCCAACTGCTATGCAATATTTGGAGAAGCCCACATTGCTATATAGTTTACAAGTCTTGGGTCTACATACATTCCTCTAACCTGTTTGATTTCATCAGGAATTCCTGCATGAATTTTGTATAAAAAGCAACCCGCTGTTTTCCGCGGGTTGGTATATTCTTCACAAAATGCCTTCAAAATACTCTTCCCAGGACTTATTTTCCAACAACCTTCTAAAGTCCTTCCTAAACTGCTGACACATATTTGGTTGCATTTATATAACCATCCTTGTCTCTACGTAAGACTTCAATACCGTTGTAAGTGCCTTTTGTGAATGTTTCGCCATTAGATTTGTTCGTGAACGTTTTTGCTTCGATGACATTTCTGTTCTTACTACAATAAAAATAAAAAATATTTTTTGGTGGGACGTCGGACATTCGTTTGTGGCTTAACCGTCGACCACAACGATAAAAATCTCGACAAAACATTTACGATGAAATCATGACAAAACATTTTACGAAGAATCATGAAAATTCATTGAAAATTCATGAGGGTAGAAAAGAGGTTAGAAATCGGGTTATATCTACCCTTCTACCCTAAACATTATTTTTTTGTCATTTACGCTCATTACGATGAAGAAGTCTTGACAAAAACTTTACGAGAAGTTTCGACAAAGCATATACGATGAAGAAGTTTCGACAAAACATTTACGATGAAATTCATGAAAATTCATGAGGGTAGAAAAGAGGTTAGAAATCGGGTTATATCTACCCATCTACCCTAAACATTATTTTTGCTGAATTTAGCAACAAAATGAACGAGGTCAGGATGTATGTAAATACCTTTGAATTCATTCATAACACCCTTTGTAAGCTCATAAAATGCTTGTTTTGAGGTCGAGCCACTTTTGGCTCCACCGTATTCTTTCAACCTGAAGCATTTAATATATGTAAAATATTTGTTTTAAAATGGTATGCATATAGCTTCTTGAATTTGTTAAGAAG